TTATATTACATGTTTGCTGTTCATAAATTTTCTATTTTAATGCATGAGAATCTCCATTTGTACGAGTTTGCTGTTCGTCTCGTTTGGCATGCGATATGGTAATGTTCCCGCGAAACTCGTTAACGCTCGGGCTTGCTCTCGGAGATCGTGCAATTGCTGCTCCCTCGCAATTTTATCACCTGGTTCTACCGATCGTAATTTCTGATATTGACGATACAATATCGTCATAGTGGCCAGAAGAACATCAGCTAATGTACCAGCCACTTCTGGCGATACTCGACGTAAGGCATTCACTCTTTCATCAACTTCTTTTACTTGAAGAGGTAACATCTTCGAATCCGCGATTGTCTGAAGGAAATATAGTATTATTTAAACCTTCTCTCTTAAACTGACTAGTGACCTTTTCTAAACATATTCTTACCTATTTACTTAATTAAAAATGTACTTACTCTGAGCGCACTCTGATATTGCTCATTGTGGAATTGATCGAAGAAAACCATAAGGTCCCTCAAAGTATAAAATGAAGATACTACTTCTGAAGGCGCTTGAATTGCAATATCCTTGTATCTGAAAAGATTTGCGATAATCATAAATATCAAGCTTTTTATAAATTTAAAAAAATTTGCATGATCGATGCAAATTTCTTCAGTCATGTAAATTATACCTTGTACTGATATCTATCGCTGTGGCTTGTAATCGTCCTCTGAGAGAACCAGGCGGTCCTCTTTGGCTAACAACTTGCGTCAAAAGTGTGCACATCAAACTGAGAACCTTCTCATGATTCCTAGCTAAATCGTACATCATAACTGCATCTTCCAGCAGACCTTTCCTATACAATGTTTCGGCACATATGTTTATCACGTCATCCGTATTGATTTGGAATTGATCTAAGATCCCTGGAAGTCTGCGATCTTTGTCAAGTTTTCCGACTAACAAAACGCGGTTTGCAGGAGAAGCATCTACTACCATTTCTGCGGCAGACGCGGCGAACATATTACGGTCGTATGGATCCTTCATACATCTAAAAGCAAAACGTCAATGTGATTATCATGCTTATAATTTAACGATTGATTTCAAATAAGAAATTAAGAATCATACCTCAATAAAAATAGATAATGAAGGCTCTCTTTTGGGTCTGATGATTCAAATCTTTTAACATACAACAATATCAATCTAGCGAAATTTAGTCTTTTCGCTGGCGGCTTATCGGCAGGATCTACGCTTATCAAAGGCGCTAAAACGCTTTGACTGACAGCCAACAAATTATGTTCATGCATAGCAGCCGCCAGATGGACAGCGTGCGGTAAATGCCTTGCTCCAGCACCTGTCGCTAAGAATTCTATCGCTGCTTCAAACTGTCCGGTCAAAAACAGCATTGAGAAGTACAAAAACGGCTGTTCGTGTGCGTGATAATAAGTTTCTCCTAAAAATGGCATTGATTAAGACTTCTAAAAATCTAAAAAAAACTATCGGTTATCTAAAAAAAATTAGTATTACCATATATTTCTGAAATTGTAGTCTGCAGATAATCCAACGTAAGTTTATTCTCAACGTCTGCCTGATCTCTTACTTGACACAACTTTAGCCACAAGTAATCGTCAGCTGTGGATATCACTTCGGAGTGGAAATCATCCAACTCGCAAGGAACTAACGCGCAATACGCTGCTCTCTTGTAAGGATCAGTGACGGATCGTACTTGTTTCCTGTAGTGCAGTTTTAGAATGGACTCGGCCCGACTGCTCGGACGATGTTGCTGATCGTCGCAAGCTTCCTCGAGAGCCGCTTTAAATTCCGGAAATTCCGTGCCGCATTGATTCAGGCATTGCAGCGCGGCTTTGTAATCTCCAGATCGCATACAGTAATATACTAACGGCCACAACGGTTTGTCTTCCATCTTAGTATCCTCCAAATCTCTCAGATTTTGTACTTTGACACCCACGAAGCTCTTGACCAAGGGTACAGTGCCTGGAACACCTCCTCGTTTCGCCTGCACCAAATTCTCGTTAATTATGGAGTTCATGAAATCTCTATATCGATTTTCCAAATACTTTCTGGCTTGTGAGACAATTCTCTGTTCGATTGCAGAGCTACTTCTGGATTTAATTTGATCTCCTCTAGGTGTTGGCGGAATATCGACCATACACTTTACCATTTGCCACAGATCCACAATCTTTTTGTCGTTAAAAGACTCGGAAGCTTTGTGGAACGTGTTAAACAAACTGGGCCGCGTAACACCTTTGAGCACATGATCATTATAAATCTGCAATTCCTTTACATAAGCAACTTCTATGCTGGAGAGACCACTAATCATCGAACCGGCTAGTTTTGTACGCTGCGGAGCACCACGCAAATCCACCAGCTCGCCGGATGGCGCAGTCATGGCGTTTATTATCTCAAAACGCATTTGCTTCCATTCACCCAGCATATGTTCCATTTGTTGAGCCCTTGTAAGCTCAAATGTCTAAAAGAATACATCCAATCTTAATCTCTCCATGATATACAGATATTCAATCTAGATATATAGATATTTAATTATTTTACATACATCCTTATGGACCTGTTCAATGATGGAAAGAATCGCATTTTCTTTTTCATTCCTGAGATAACTAACAATGTCGGTGTCTGCAATAGGATCTAATGGTTCAAATGTACGTCTCGTACTAAGAGAGTTTAATTTCTGCGAAATCTGAGATAGATCTACTCCTCGGGAGCCCAGTAAGACATGACTGAAACATTTATTTTTATATAAATGTTGTTTTCCAGTTAAGATATCCAGTTAAGATATAAAGCATTTTCCAAGAGCTACAAATAATACTGCATAACATAATGAATCATTTCATTCTTACATTAGCAAACAAAGATATAATAATTCACTGTCTTACATTGTATCAATTGTGTTTCTTGCTATGTGAAAGCACTATGAGTGTTTTCTAGAAGGACGTACATGACACAGTGTAATACCAACAGTTTATCCAGCAATTAAACATTAGTTTAACATTAGCAAACAACAAAGATATAATGATTCATTGTTATGCAACTTTGGCTGTGTTCCAAAATTTATTGCCAGTACTAAAAATCTATAGTTTATGTCACATATACTATAGATTTTCAATACTGTAAATTTTCAATGCAGTAAATTTTTGAATACAGCCTATATCTCTTGCTGGAAAGTACAATAGATCACTTCATTCTAAATATGGTTAAAACAAAGGCTGCGTTCGAGAAGAAAGAAAATTAATCAGTTAGCTCTTAGTGATTCTTTAATATGATTCCTATGCTTAGGGCAGAATTCATAGTCCATTCTTATTTTAAGACCACCTTAAATAATGTCTAATGCTAACGCAGCTCTCTGATTGACTTATGATATCTTAAGACTGTACTTAGGACTGTACTCTCAAATATAAGAATCAATTATAAATCTAGCAAAGAACTAAAGGCAAGAACCAATTATAATAAAGCACGCTGATTAGTTTTTTTCTGTTGAACGCTGCCAATACTACAAATGCTGTAAAGCATTTTTTGATCAATTCATAAAATTTTTTTCTTCTAACCAATCAAATATTTCAATTCATAGTTAGACTTTGACCGCAACCTCTACATTGACAAACAATAAAATATAATGATTCACTGTTGATGCTTTCTAACAAGAGATATAGTGTAACAGTGAATCACTCGGTAAACCATTACATTCTTGTTATTTGCCAATGTAAGAACGAAGTGATCCACTATGTTACAATGCCATTTGTGTCTCTTGCTGGAAAACGTTCTATCGTCTGAGTACCTTCCTCAATCATTTCATCTTTGTTTAAAATTGGCAAATAACGAAAATGTAGTGATTCACTGTGTTACACTGTATTATCTATATCTCTTGTTCAAAAGTATGTTTAACATGAATGTTTTAATTGTAATGCAGTAATAAATCGGAAAGCAAAAAATTTCGAATTGCTGTGAAGTCTACAAAAAGTTTATCATATGTAGCCAGGAATAAACTGGGATGAACTTACGCTTGTGCCTCGTTATCCTGTGTGCTTGTTTGCGTAACCCGAGACCATAGCTCGTTGGACGCCTCCAATATTTGTCGTAGATTCCTTTCGACCTGCGGCAGATCCTCATTTCCCTCGACGGTTGCGGACAATTGCTCAGCCGATCTCAACAATTCGCTGAAGCCGGAATCAGCGGCCAGTCGAGTGGTGTCGGCGGGCAACATATCCACGTGACCGATATCGCCCATACTCCTAACTAACCTGACAGTTTTGCAAATTTGTAGGTTATTATAACACCGGCGAAATGTTGAAAACGGATTTTATAAAATCACGCGGCAAAAAGATCACGAACCATGAAATATAAAATACAAGTCGCGAACGCGAATGTATTTTTAGAAATCTCTAGAAAATATCACAGGGCTGTAAACCGTATAAATCAATCTTTCCTTAATCCCTAGACCAGAGAAAAGCCTGGGGCGCGTAACTATCTTTAGATTTGTTCTACAACAGAGTCGTAAGCGGTAAGAAACTAACCAATCATAGGCCCGGTTGTTTCACCATTTGATAAATTTTACCCGTTAAGTAATAGCAAGATTACCTAATTACATGCGTGATTTACCAGATTTACCTAACAGGTAAAATTTACCAAAGAGTGGAACAACCTGGCCAGAGTCGATTATTCTTCTCACACTTAACTGTGATTGGCCAATTTCTTACGGCTTACGACTTGCGACCTATTGTAGAACAGGCATTACAATCTACCGACAGTTGTCAGTGTCGTTGCGCAGATATTTTATATAGGATGCGTTCATTTATGTAGTTATGCGGTTACTGCCGCAGATGTCGTTCCTTTATTCTACGAGTTCCTTTATTCTCGTACTTACGAAGTAAAGTCACTAAATTAACAAAATACCGCGAACTGCCGCCATTTTGGCTCCATAACGCGCGATTATTCAAAACTTCAGCTTCTTTCGCTGCGATTTTTGCAATTTTCAACATAGCAACCGGGCATTTTCGATAATAACAGAATCAAATTCTTCTTCTTCTTCCAGATTCCTGTATGGATTTTCGATTTTTTAACAGAATCAGGTTATAATAACACTTCGACACCATTTTGGCTTCAAATGTTAATTCAGTGAATTTTCTCATCGCGGAACGACATTTGCGGCAGTAACCGCATAAACAAACTTATATAAAATATTATAAGAAATTTACTAGGTATAGACACAACAGAGATATCAACAGCATCAAAGCTGTGTGGCTCTGTGGTAGAGCGAAAGTCACATTCAGGAGGAAAGACCAGGCCTGGAATCGAAACGAGGGAACGCCCTGATTTTTCTCTGTGTCGTCAATTGTTTACAATATGTATGTAACGACACCGACAACTTCTTCTATGTTGAGTGGCCCAGGTTTTTTCCTGTATAGCCGGATTTAACGTGGCCAGTCTAATCCAAATCGAGATATAGTAAAAACAAAATCGGAAAGCAATGCACCGGCCACCTCGAACCAGGCAGAAGTAACGAAAAAAGGACGATGCAATCAAAGCGCAAATAGAAGATGTTCCAAACATTGGGCGCCTTACGAGTACGACACTTCAGTGCCGCATGGATGCGCGTCGAGATGAATAAAGGGATTCTATCGGTGATGTAATGTAATGCACACTCGAAGTCGGCCACGTTTTTCGAAAAATATGATTGAGGTGTATAATTGAGGTGATATAGTTTATATGAGGTGCGTTCATTTATACAGTATTGGTAGTGACAGTGTCTCGACATGCTTAACGCCGAGACACTATCAATGTCTCCCGATTTTAATTTTGCCTATAAACAAAAATAAAGTGAAATGGCAGCAATTTTGTTACTCGATGAAGAGGACGAAGAAGCCTTTGAACTTATCAAAATTATACGAAGAATGCTTAGAGATACAACTGATCCTTTTACCATCTCTGAGAACGAATTTCGTAGATTGTACAGGTAAATTTTCATTAAAATCCTTAGTAATGTAAAAGTTTTATATTACCCCAGGACAAAATGTTTTATACATAATTATATAAAATTATATATAACTTTGTATATATTATTATAAATAAAATATTTTTTCCCAGGACAGCACGTGATTATATGCTTTTTATTTATTTTAGACTGACGAAAGATACAACTTGTGTTTTAATAGAGGAATGAGTGCCACATATGCCTCAGGTATCATGAAACACTGCAATATCTCATGAATTGAAGGTACAATATATTTTGAATTTTTATTTATATAACACTATTAAATTAATGATTTCTCTAATCTTAATTTAATGTATTATTTTATTTAGATATTAGTATCATTAAGCTTTTTTGCGTCAGGGTCTGTCAAAGAAGGGTCAGGATTTTTTAACATGCATGTTGCAAGCATCATTAAGCCATTCTCTTCATACAACTGTTAATGCACTGAATTGTGTGATGGACAATTGGATTTTTTCCAATAACCGTTGGTAGAATTCAAGGAATCAAACAAGAGTAATTGTTATTAATTTTATTACGTATGCGTCTGTGTGAAGATGAAATAAAATTAATTTGTAATAAGAATATTATATATGATACAAAAATTTATCATTTCTTTTATAAAATATTCAATATATATTTTATTAAGCTAAAGAAAAAATATTAAGATTAGACACAATTTATACACAATTAAGCCCCAGTCTTGTCTCTCACGCGTCCTTTAACCAAGTCTAAAATAATTTAATAGAAAGTTACTAGATAGTACTCGTATCAATTGTACAATGTAAACTAGGCTATTTAATTAATCGATTATTGATAAGATCATTCGCGACTTTACCAACTGTCAATAAAATTTATGGCGGTTATACCAACTATTGATTATTTTCTTGATTAATATTATCATGTCAATTACTAACAAAATTAATTAATTAAATTGTTTAAAAAATCAGTAAAATATGGAGAAAATATAATCAAGTAAAAGGTAATTAGATAAAAAGTTTCAGAAGAATTTTAAAAGTCAAAATTCCAAATATTGCAATTTCAAGAGTTTTATATTATATATTTTTTTTCGCTATAATTTACATTGGTACAAGCAAAATTGCAACTATAATAATATATACCAACAAAACACACACACACACACACTCACATACATACGCAATATGCAAACATAAGACATAAGTTTTTACAATTATTTATTATGTAATGCGCAACATACAGTACGCTCACAACTCTCTAGTGCAACTTTATGTTTAATATTTTTAACAATTTAAATAGTCGTTATATATTTGTAAAATCAATTTTCCTGAAATAACATCGCTTTAAGCGATGCGCGTTTATTGAAAATTACAAATTTTGTGTGGAAAATGCCGTTCAAGTAGAACGACCATCCGATACATGCAATTTAATAGGAATAAGCGGTCATTCTTCTTCAAGGCTGTTCCTTTGTCATGCTGCTCGGTCAAGTTTTCGCCGTGTAGACTATCCGTCGGATCGGCCAGGGCCGTGCTCTTGCCACAGTGACCTCAAAAGAAAGAAAGACCTTACGAGGTACCTGACGAAGGTCAACATCGAAACGAAGAATTTCGATTTCACTATTATTGTGGGCTACTTTCGCTCTAAAAATTACCTCCGAAATTTGACAAAGGATAAAAATCTCCGCGTACTTCATTCGCGACACTCTGTAGAAAGAAACGTAACGGATGGGATGAGAGGGCGAATACTTAAGAGCGGCATTAAAGAGACGCGTAAATGTGTGTGGTCGTCTGATCCCACCCAAGAAACATACCAATAAGTCAAGAGAAGATCAAAATGACTTTATTTTAACGTCATGAGAGTCAAAATGATGATTTTTTTATTACAAAATTTGACTGTTTTATTGACGTTAAGAGTAAAAATAACATTATTTTGATATTTTGTCGACTTTTGTATTTTTCCTCGGGCACTGAAGCTCTGGTCTTTCACCCGGTAAACTTCGACGAATAAAACTTTGAGGGGGACCCCGCTTTATTTTCGTCAGTTTTCAAGTCAGGCTCTGCGTCTAAGATGCATTCTCGATTGTCCCTCTCTCTCTCTCTCGCATTCGCGCGATGGAAACTTGAAGACAAGACTAAGGGAGTTGGGGAGGGAAGAAAAGGAATCGCGCCTACGATGTCTGCCGAGCATAATACGCCAGTATGCGTTTCCTCTCTTTTCCGCCTTGTAGGTTAGAGACGGCCCGACTTCTCCAGGCCGCCTCTACTTCTCCTTCCTTTTCTCTTCACTCCGCAAGAATTCCTATTCAGTGAGATTAACTTATCTCCCGATTGCACCGGGGTGGCCGCCTTTGAGAGAATCACGCTCAACATAGATTTTCACGTGTGGAGCGGAGTTCTATAAATAATTGATAGATAATAAAACTAGGAAGAAAAGCAAACACGAGGGCGCGCGTTTTTCATTCGTATCACCATTTGAATCGAAAGTGAAGTTTCATTTCACTTAATAAATAAATATTAGATATATGATATAAACCTATATATACGAGATAGAAATAAATATATATATATATGATACACTAGTCGTACGACAGTGGAAAAAAAATATAAAAAATGGGAAGAAAAACATTAGCTAGATTATATATAAACAATTCGTTATTTTCGCTTGATTATTCTTACTTAACGTTGCTGGGAAAGTCATTAATATATCAGCGCAACTTGGCTTGCATAGCTGCATCGTGGAAGAGTGCAGGTTCAAGTTACTCGCTCTTCCTTCCCTTATGATACAGCTGATACGTCATCAACACATACGTAACATAGACATCGTGTCGGGACGTTGTACACATGGCGTGTCGTGAAAGCGACACGCAGCTGGACGGGAGAATCAACGGGACGAGTATTGAACGTTATGGAAAGCCATATTAGATTATTTATTTTTTATCAATTCGCGGAAATCCATTTCACGTTCCAGTAGTGATGGAAAAAAATTAGATTTTACAGAATTTATATATATATATACGGCGTAGGAAACACGTGCGCATATTCGTGTAACCTTTTAACTGTGCGGTGCCGGGGTCTCGTTTCCCGACTGGAAATTGCGCGATAAAGAGAAAGGATTAAACGGAGACGCAAGAGCAGAAAGAGAAAGAAAATGAGAAGAGAGAGAGAGAGAGAGAGAGAGAGAGAGAGGTATAAAGAATGAGGGAGAAGACAAGAGAGAACGAGAGAGAAGGAACGAGAAAACAAGAGAAAGGGAGAAACCGAGAAAGGATGAGTGAGCGACAGAGAGAGAGAGAGT